CTACTGTCAACATAAGTAGCATAAACCACGATACTATTGATAAGAGAGTGAATCTAATACGATTGAATAGATCGAATAACTAACAAACGACAGTTTGCTGACACAATTATATCCCTATACATAAAGAGAATACTGGGGTATTTACAAGGTAGCTTTTATGTCTTACTTGGTCATTTGAGTATGAGTACCAGTAGGAAGAGACATTAATTACTCGGGGAATTTTATAACCTGTATTACACGCTAACATGTTTCCAAGATAATAATCTACAATAACATTTCTGATATTTGGTGACAAATTTCAGCGAATATATTACAGTAGACTGTTGTATTCTACAACAATATAGAAAAGAAAATACTGAATCTAACAGATAAGATTTTTTTTAAATGATTTTGTATTTAACACCACCCAATTAATAAAACAACACTTTTAACTACAGATAGCACATGATATAAATGAATACTAACCTGAGTACGTTCATTTATTGGTAAATCATATCCTTGTATTTTTTTGGTCATATCTTCTAAATCTGTAACAATAGCTAATTTGTATTGAGTGAAATGTTGTAAAAAATTTTCATGAATATTTCCATTACCAAATGAATCAACATTTTTTCGTTGACTATTAACAACTTGACTCTGTGTATGACGTTCATTTAAACGATTTAATACAGCTTGACGATTGTTACTGACATTTAATGGAAAACTTCTATTTTCTGAAGATTTCTGATGGGAATTCATTATTCACAGTGTATTATGTTCCCAAATGTGAGGTATTTCTTCTAAAACAATCAGTAATACATAATATATCGATGCACTAGCGAACATCATTTTCAATTCTACTCTATGGCACTTACAACGATAACAGAATAAAAAGACAGCTTAGTAACAAGGGGCAAATTCACACATTTGACTTCGGGTCAAACAACTTGTGTGTGTCGCTGATATTAATCAATGTATTCAAACTCCAATAAGTGGAACGTCTCTTGAAGTTACGGTTAATGTTAAGAAGTCAAGCGGCTTAACTATTAAGTTACCATCTATTGGATAAAATCGATAGTTCAATATACTTTTGTACAATTTTTAATTTGTGCACTTTCAATAAGGTTTCAGTTGTAAACAGTGAGCTCTATACATGTAGTCGATACGAAACTCTTTTCGTTAAGTCATGATCCTTTTAAATGCACACAAACATTCGTATTACATTGATCTTTTTGAGTATACTACTTCATAATTCTTTTTCAAAGTTAATATGGACTGGGAATACACAGATAGATGATTAGGGTTGTATATTGTTCTGTAATAAAATTACGGCTACATAACAGAAAAGTATTGTTAAAAAATTAACCAGAAGAAATCATTTTAAGAGTAAATATAGATGGAAACTCGAATTTAAAAAATTAACAACGTTCATTCTATTGTACCTACTCTGAAAAGATAACTAACTGCCAACGGCTATGCACCAATATCTAGAACACAGAGGTCACTGGATGTCGGTCAAACACAAATAGCGTAAGATAAATATGCATTAACCCTCAAGTTGCTTTAACATAAAAGAGTATATATAAGTGGAATATACAGGATGAAACAAAGGAGCAGGAATAACACTAATGGTAACGAAAAACTAAAAGGTAAACGGAATAAACAAGACCCGAGAATGACTATTATGAAGTGATATTAAAGATTTATGACAAAATGGAAGATGAATGCATCCCTGGCAGTGAAGATTAATTTGGTTCCCAATAATGATTAATAAATATTTGGCGAACTCAAACAACGAAATCTGCACTTGGCAATAACACAGATCAAGTGAGACAGACTTCATGGACTAATATCAAGTCTTGGTATGATTAATCTGCTCAAACGTTTGGACTATCCATTTTCCAACTAAGCAAATATTGCAATAAACCCTTGTTTTGGATTTATTTAAATAAAATAATTACGAATCGCATCAGTGTACTTTTGCGGTACTATGAATAACTTACAACCTATCACGATGCTAAATGCTGAATATCTTGAACTGAAACACTGCATTTGTCGGTATATTCCCCTCTTTTTCTACCCTGTTAAAAAAATCGAGGGACTAATATATGTTGGGATTCATGAACTTCATACCTAATGGGTGAGGAAAATAGATGTAGCACCAGAAAACTGATAGTAAACTTTCAGCATTGATGAATGGAAGATAACTACTGAGAAGCACATATAAAATATTTTTCTGAATAATTACAATTAGATATGTGTTGAGGGGAAATTTATTGCGATATTGCATAGTTGATGTTGAGAATCCCTTACTTTGACCTAATTCATAGTAGTGAATAAAACTATCATTATGATAGTTATAGGAAACTATAATAAATGGAATAACAAATAGAACCATGTTAACTGTGGATTCTAAGTAAATGAGCAAACCTCCTTGTAGATTAATTCCTGAAAAATTGGATGAAGAGCTTGTGCTTCCCATGACAAAACCAAATAAAACAGGGACAGCGGACGACACCGATGAACACCATTAAAAATTCACAATTTCGATAGAGGCTCGCTATAATCTCTGATTAGACCAATAGCGGTCGAGTAGAGCCGTCACAAGGTATATGTGCTTTTTGGTAGGCATCTGGACGATAAAAACTACCACAGAACCACTCAATCAAAAGGTTCGAATACTGCATTAAGGTTTAGAAACAAAACTATATTCGAGTGTGGCTAAATGTCCGTACATTCTAAGGCGAACATTGGTTTTACATATCCACATCCAGGTCTAGAACTAGCCTAGTTTTCCTTAGTTCGCAAGCTCTAGTAAAGCTCTGGATGATTATTGAGGATAGTATTAAAAGCGCTATGATAGCCAAACTAATTTACCTACAGCAACAGTGTAAATCAGATAACTCAAACCTTAGCAAGCGACATCGAAAACAAATCGTTTTCAAGAACTAGTTTACAAGTATCGCTTTCATAAAAATGGCAATTTCCATAACTTCGGCATTTGAGCATACCAATAGTGTACCCATTCAAATAGAGAAAAGGAATTACAAAATTTAGAAGAATTCCCAAACTTCTGACGACCTTTAAGGAAACAAAAACACTACAGCATTTGGTAAATCGTGTGCAGGAAAAATGTTCACTACATTATCATTAGTGGTGACACAGGATATTTTATTTATATTAACATGCATTTATAAAACTGTTAAAATTTTTCGGGGTTTTGCTAAAATTGACAGGTTGAAGACACATTTTACATAACAGTCGCTGATTTTGCTTTTTATTGAGTACTGGCTAAGGTTTATAAATTAAGGAAACTGACGGGAGCAAAAGAACCCATTCCTAATTTCCTTCAACAGTCCAAAACAAATGAGGAAATCCGTAAGGCCGCTAATTAACATGTAAATTAGGGAATTTTGTCCTAACAAATATATTTGAACATTGATAAAATTCTTGATACAGCTGTTTTATGAATAAATGTCTATCTACAATACTATAAATACGATTGTATATTGTTATCCTCTTTCATCGATTAAAAACCGTTACAAAACCATTTCATACTTTAGTGCGAGTTAAAGCCCGTAACCCAAAAGTTGAACATCAAGTGCTTCGGAATCCTTAACCACCTGTGGATGTACAAGCTGGTTATTACACTACCGTGGTTCGTGTGTGTACAGTTTTGGATGCACTATATCAAACTTCACATTCATGTGTCACATAAGTCGGCTAGCTAGTTTGATTTCATAAAAAAGGATGTGACTTAGAGAGATGATAAAAAAGCCCATTTCATCAAATGATAGGTCCTACTATTACAATCATTTGATTAGTGATACATTTTGATCACAATGATAACGATGGTGGGTAGGGATCTTAGGAACATTCATTTATATGAATTGAATTTCATTAAAATTAATCAACTTAGACACTGAAATCACTCAAGAGAAACCTGTGGCTTGAAGCTACTGAGATGTTAGATTAAAAAATATCAACCTATAAAATGTTACAAGCTGCTTTTTATCTCAAAGAATAACATGAATCGGTCGATTTTATCATTTAGAAAGCCTACGATATAGAACAAACTGGTGATTTAATAGTTCTCAGAAAGGGGTTTTTGTGGATATTGTAGTAATTTAGTATTTGAGTTCAGCAGTGCGCATCCACGATCCCATCCCGCGAGACTCGAACCCAGGACCTGTCGGTCTCGTGCGCGAACGCTTAACATTTAGACAACTGAGCCGACAACTTTTGTGAATTTTGAAGTAACAACCATCTCTGTCCCGTTAATCACATCATGAACGGCTTCGATTTTAATTGGTGACAATTTGAACCGATAGCTCCTGTATAACATTACTGTTTATTTCAGTTGATTAGAACATATGGGGCTTCAAACTCAAACATTAGTGTTTTCTTTTATAATATAAAGAGCCAAAGATCCAATAATCAAGATGTTTTATGCTAACTTATCAAGAAGTGCATAGAATCACGACGAAACAATATCCTCCTCACGAGGAATTACTCTCTTCGTTATAATGAAATTGATGTCTAGGTTAGTGCCACACGATCCTTATCTATGAAAAGAAAACGCTAAATCAAGCCCATACAAAACCCGGAACTACAAAAGTATCTACTAGTATAACATGTAATTTAAGGATTGTAAGCACACCAGGTAAAAACCAACAGGACAGCTGGCAAACAATCGAGAACAAAAAGGAAATTACGTAATAACATTACTCTATATTACTTCAACGTGTTTGCGAAATACAGGCTTACAAAAAATAAAATAGTAAAATGTTTACTAGTGTGGAGACATTAATACGTACATACATACAATAAATACATTGTATTCCTTATTAGGAAAACAAGATGTGGGAACATAATTTCTTTTCTTTTTAAAAAAAAGCTATGACAATGATCATGTATGTGGATGATGGATGGCGAGAGAAATAAAAACAGGAAATAATTTCGCTGAAGAGTTTAGAGTAATTGCGAACACTGAAAATTATTCAGTTCCAGTGGAGTTCTGTCTAGTTTTTTTCTTTTTCTTTAATCACATTATCAGATGGATGAGATTCACCAACAGAGGATAACTTACGTTTTTGAGTCAGAGGTTGACAACGTACTGGGCTACTATGTGATGATAGATGACTACTGGATCGTTTAGATGATAATAAAGGAGATGTGTTTTGTTTTTTTGAACGATTTGGAGATTCTGTATACATAGAATGATGCTGGTCTTCCTCATTAATTGAGGTTCATCTCCTAAAGCGAATGTCTCGCTACCATCCGATAGTTCACCAGCTTCTAATTCTTGACGGTGAGAATTATGGAAGTTTTTGCTCGTAAAAGTATTCGATGAACGCGGTGACGTGTAACTGGGACCATGATGTTGATTTGTAGAAATCGTAGAACTGTTAAACTTAGCTTCGCTGGAAATATCATTTAATGAAGACCATCGTTCATCGCTTTTTCCATGTTCATCCCTATCATAATTCTTCTTGTCAGAATCCTCAGTTTTGTTTATTTTATTATCCGACGGATCACTATTAATTGAAGCCATACGACGCCGCGCTTGTAAATTTTCTTCAAATTCTGTTTCGAGCTTTTTCCGACGCCGAGCAATGAGAGCTGGAAAAGTAGGCATCCAAAAAAAATAAACAAAAGTGAAACACCAACCTTGTAAGGGTTAACAATTGTGGATTACAAGAGTCAGTTACCAGTCAGTTGACACTAACGCAGAGCCTGGCACAGATGTGTTTCCATAGCATATTAACACAATAAGATTAACAACAACAACAAGACCAAAGGCATCACAAAGAAACTGTTAACTGTAATATCTATCCTTTCAGCAAGTTATGCAGTTGACCATGAAAACTGGAGTATGAAAAAAACTAATTTTTCTTCCACAATATTTGGAGAATAAGAAAAATAATACGGAAGTAAAGTTTTATTAACTTTGAAAACAGGACACTAACTGAAACACCGATAATAAAAGTAGGATACGCTTGCAAACAACACTCGAGTTGTAAGTTTGAAATTGGTTTCTCTCACTCTGTTTTCGGTATCAAGGGTAATACCTATATTAATCAAACAGTAACTATAATTTCACATCAAGTATACAAACTTATAACGAATTTATAGTTGCAAGTTTATTATACCTAATAGCTAGTTTCGTATGAAAAGTACAAAATCTTGGAACGAAGATGTTTGATTATAAATACATTTTAGTAATCCTGATGTTTTGGGCTAATCAATAAGGAACAGCTTTGTTGTTATGCTATAGAATAAAACTATTTCGTGTGTAGTGAGTTCGCGCCTTGATTGAGATAATTAATCAATATGCATATAGAAAACGCCAGTGATTATTGTTAGAAGTCTAGTGAACTTAAAGTTGAATGTTGAGAGATTTTACAATAGCACAAAGTAAAATATAATCAAGATGAGTACGATTGGTAAAAATTTCACATATTGAATTTAGATCATTTAAACAATAGATAAAGTGATACTCAAGTCGGATTAACAATATTTTGTTCTTTAACTATTAAGCGGTTATATATCTTGTCCAGAATTTTTTAACTTAGTACGTCAAAATAGATCCCATATGAACATGCACGAAAGACATAACACATACTTCACTTTACAAGAGTTAATCTCTAATTTCTCTGAAGGGTGTAACTGTGAGATAGTAGTTTAGGAACTACTTTAAAATGACCTGTGATTATGTTGGTTGTTTTTTTAACTTGCATATGAATAGAACATGCCTTGTTATATCTAATCAATAAAATGTAATAACAATACGAGAATGGATGGAATAAAAAGGCGAATCATTTCAATTAGCAGAGTAGTGTAAACAGCCATAGGTGAACTGAACGTTGATCTTATGACAATGAATTTAGAATTAGGTATTTACATAATTCATGAACAAAAATCAATAGCGTATGGTGTTTCTTATAAATGACAGTGTAAAAATAAAAACCAACCGTCTATAGCGCGAACCGTTACTTCTATACGCCATTTTGACTCTTCATTGTGGATTTTCGGGCGATAAAATATATATGGTGGTTTTGAAGTACGACAAAAACCTTTCATTTTTCCTGTTGCTCCTTCCATATCTCAAACTAAGAAATATTTTCAGTATAAAAAAGTCAATAATGTTAGTTAGGCTTAGATTTGCAACATTATCATCTATAACATTCAAAAATCCTAGATATAGTTTTTAGAGGATTACCTATTGAGACATGAGATTAAAAAAAGTTTCACATGATAACAATATAGTGGAAGCTAAATCTACTATGCAGAAATATGACAAAAGTAGATTTCTTAAATGAATTAGGCAGAATTGTGATAGCATTTGATACTGTGGTCAACACTAAGCTCTAAAATCCATAATTTGTCAATTAGTAGGTCGTAAGTAAATGAAAACATACCACACATACTTTTGTGTTATTTAGAATAAATGTCCAATCTTTAAGGATAAAACAATTTCAGTTGGTTTAATCCGTGTCGTAAGTTATACAATGTTATTTTTAATGCTATAGTCATTTTATTTTTGTGTGCCACTTTAGAACACTGACTCGTTTAGTTATTGTAAATATAAGGAATTAAAATCAAGAAAATGAGAGTAAGACTGAAAATTCAGTTGTTGGTACAAATCAAATGTTTAGGGACTACACACTTGGAAATAGTGATGAGACGGTTACGCCAAAGCTAATAACTTCAGTAGTAGGTGTTCATAATTGCAAAGTATATTATGTATTTTGTTTCCGATTTGACATCTATAAGTTATGTTGTGAAATGAACTCCGAAGACAGTAAAGGTATGAGTAAAGATATGATGGCGATTTGCATAATTCCTAACTGTTTATAATAATTAACAATGCCTACTTCAGGAAATTATAACCGAGTAAACAGACACTTACTAATGGCAAGCTAATCACATTATGTAACATATACGTGGTGATTTCTACAGATAATCATGTTCTTTTACTACTGATATGACTCTAATAATGTAAAAGATCGTTTGAAGTACACAAACCTTTTTCAATAATCTCATTTTTTGTTGTAGAATGCTAACTTCAACGTGATGTTCTCGTCGAGTACGAAATAGTTCTGCGCGTTCACGACGTAAGTTTTCTTTTTCTTCTTTTGCTCGAGCTTCCAACTTAGCATCAACTAAACGTCGTTTTTCCATTTGAGGTTTTTTGATTGCAGCTGCAGATTCAGCTTGGAACTGCTTCAATGTACCCTGAAGAATCCCAAGCATACGGCGTCCTCTATTCAAATAAAGGAAAAATGATATACAATGTAAACGTTCTTATAGTGTCCTATTGATCTTAAGCGTAAAAATAGAGTGAATCGTGAAGCTTCGATTGAAAGAGTTCACACATATTAGGATGTATAAAACTGCTCCATTTAACAATAAGGATCAGTAAAAAACTGTACCAAAGGTTGGGTTAGGATGGTGAAATAAGTGACATATATGTTTACATTTTCAAAATATACCTAATACTGATTTATTAGTATATTTACAGATATGTTGGCTTTCAGAATGCTCAACGTAATTTAATTCCAAATGCACATCCGAATCCAGTTAAATGACAACAAACATTTGGAAATAAATAGTAATGTAACTAATTTGCCGAGTACAAGTCTAATTACTCGGCTTTGATGATGGCCTTTTTGTGTAAGCATTAGTTATACAAAGTAGGTAGGATTAGTGGACACGGAGGGTCTACCTAGGGGAGTTGGAAAACCCTGATTTCAAATCAATAGTGCACATGGGCTCCAGTGTCCTGAAGGAAAAAATGGTGCACGAACCTATTGTTGGTCACCGGCTACCATGGGACTGCATGTCCTTACGTTGCTTCACTGCCTCGTGGATCATACCTTTAGATCGAAGATTCCGGGTGTGGCCCTTTAATAGAACCACCTGCTTCGGTCTCAGTGCCCGGGTAGTATCACGGCCCACACAGAAATCAAATGACAACTACTACTGAAAATATTATTCTTGATATAATTAACGTTCAGACATATCATTCATTTGATAACATTCATTACGTAAGGACCGAGAAGTCTTGTGGTCTAATGAGATGGAAGCACAGGTGCATCTGATAACTGCCGGGAGCTCTTTCAACTCATCCGAGTCACTGGCACTGAGAGGTCTGGTGTGAGTGAAATAATCTATGAAAATGACGGGATGTCAATTACTAACATTTATCGACATCTTGGACGATAGGCAGAGTTTCCCGAGGGACAGTTCAACTGATCTGCTGCCCAGTAGACATCGATCAGACTGTCCTACTCTCCATGGCCTGTGACGACTGATCTATCTAACGAGACTGCAGTCTGCGAGAAACTCCAACTCTTGAAGCGCTATAAATCACCAGGTTCAGAAAACTTACCTCCAGCCCTTTCTAAAAATGGTTTGACAATTAGAGAGCATTTCAACATTGTGAAATGAGTTGGTAGTTGTTCCTACCTTTAAAGTGTTCACGTCACACATCCGAGAACTATCGGGCGATAAGTCTACTTTTGATTGCGTCTAAACTATTGGCTTTCGTCATACTTCGTAGATTGTTCAAAACCAGAGAAACATTGACTAACGAGGAGCAGGCTGGTTGCCGTCCAGGTCGATGATATGTTGATCATATTTTTACTTCCCACCAAATGTTAGCACACTGTCATAATTATCAAGTCGCCAATAATCTTAGTGTTTCTTGACATCAGGGCTGCCTTCGATTCGTTGGACAGGACTGTTCTCTGGGATTGTCTATTGAAGAAGAGTGTGTCTGAGAAGTTTATTAACATCTTAAAAGCCATATATACAAACACCTCAGGCAGTGAGAAAATACAACCACATCGCTTCATTGTTCCATTCAAACAGTGGAGTTAGGCAGGGTTGCCCAATCTCACCAATCCTCCTCAACTTTGTCATCGATGACATTCCGGAAACAGCTTGGATGAATGTAGGTAATGGTGCTGTGAATCTGTTGCCTGGGAAAGACTTCTCGACCTTGAGTATACGGATGATATTGTCTTACCAAGCGATGATACCCAAGCCATGCAATCCGCACTTAATCAGGTGGCCGTAGGTATGGTATGTGCTTTGTACCTTCCAAGTGCAGAGTACTTTTACAAGACTGACAGTACTCTGACCCTGCACTCACCCTAGGTAATGAGCAGATAGAAGTAGTCGAGAAGTTCGTGTATCCGGGTAGCTGCATAAGTGCTGGTGGTGGCGTGAGTGGTGAGATCAATTCACGTATAGTGAAAGCCAGAGAGGCTTATTACAATCTAGGCCATCTTTGGCGCCTTCATGATGTCAGAATAGAAGCCAGTGATGATGAAAGGATTATTTTTGGTTGTACTTTTGCTAACAGAACTGCCTCTCCCATTTTTATTTCACTCTTATACACTAATTTCTGTTCATTGTTCACCATATTTTACACGCACTTTACATTCTTGATTTCTTCACAGCCTTATTGTTATTGTGTGGCGCACATTTGTTTGGTGCCCCTTTGTACCAAGATTTGTGTTCAAATAAATAAATAATAAGTAGGTAGGACAGAGTTTTAATCTACGACATACTGGACGGAGGTCAAGTATTTTAACTACTCGGCTATCACTTCACGACATAGATTAAACCGCAGATGAAAAAATGAAATGATGTAGTATTTATACGACTACAGTTGTATGTTTACCTTTCTTTGTCTGACTTTTTTAATTCTTTGGCTGCATCTTCCCTAGAACGAGTATCAGTAACACGAACAACAGAGGATGCAACAGAAACCTATTCGGATGGAGAAAAATAAATAAATGGAAATAGTCTTCGGTCGATGGTGAAATCATATGACTGTGAAGAAAAATCAACAGTGTCATTTATGTTACAATCATAGACATAAGTACCACACTACATAGTTTCGTGATCCGTCATGTTTATAGAACTCAGGTCTACTTAGATTATTTGTTCAAACGAGAAACGAAGTGTTTGGTTGTTGGTTATTCATTCATATTTCTATCACAAGACTATGCGAAAAGTGCTAAAACTTGCCACAGATTTAAATAAGCTAAGAGTACTCAGAGATTCAAGTACAGAAACTAACAGTAAAAAGCTAGTGATAATAATAGAGAAGGGGAATAAAGGTTTGGGGCAATGATATTCAAGTTTAAGAATAGAGTGTGGATTCATTTTCATCGTTGTTATAACTTTCGAAGCATTAACTTATTTCTTTGATCCAAGCCGTAAATAATACACCACTACACAAGTCGGATTAATATTAGGACCTTATACATCATATCTATTTTATTTAATGTAGGTTTACGATCTAATCTGCAACAATTATTTACCTAACAGTAGTATTTATTCAGTAATTCCAACAATTACCAGAAGTGTTTTGACCATACTGTGTATTATGAATCATCAGTTTCTCCACTGTACCTTTAGTGACGAAGTTAACCATGTAGTAATTTGTTGCTTTTTGGAGCTGAGAGCTAAACATATTTAGTGAAGCCGAATAATGTACACTGAATTGCAGTCGAATGGCATACTTGACGGTTACTGAACTAGAATTATGCCAAATAGCTTCAGTGTTGGAAATAACTAATGACTGGTTTGACTTATGGAGTGGAATGTGATTTTGTTACTGAGTATTCCATGGAGATAAGCGACTATCACTCCCTCATAAACTCATGAGAAATATAACATTATTTTAGTTCATTACACCCCGACCGAAGCTGCTACCTTGACGCGGTGGTCGGGCTTGCCTATCGTGATGACCCAATCGAGCTATATTGGCTGGAAGACATGGTCCTGTAGGTTCTACCATGCCAGGCAGTTTGATTGGAGAACGGTAAGACTAAAAGCAGCAACTCAAGGTCTGAGGGCGAAGTCGTACTGCTGACTGTAGAGGGGTGTGACAGCAGTAAGGTGTTTCCCTCTGACAACCAGCATCTGCTGCGATGCTGCCTTCTTACAAGGAAGGAAATGGTTAGAAGAGGTTGACCCTAAAATATCACGCCTGACCTTATCTCATGAATTTCCGTCTCCGGCGGTAAAGCCCTTTGAAGAACGGAGCTAACACATTAAAAACCGTCCACGAAAAGGCCGTGCTCGACCGGCCTCAAGCAGTTGTCCTTTGGGCTCTGCAGTCATGCTCCCAGGTCGTTAAGACCAACACTAATCCAATTTCCTTTTCAGGTTCCTCAAGAAATACCCTTCCACGGTGTGGGAAGCCGGGAAGTGATATCAGCCCTTATACCCGTAACAGCACACGAGACCAAGTTGGTCACATTCAAATCCTTCCTACACCTCCTAATACCTCTCTTATCTCCATGATTAACCCTTTCCATATCCCTTTATCACCTCGGACCGCTAGTGCAAACGATTCGAGTACGCGGAACGTTATTCCTGGTCCCCTGAAACCATGCTATAAACTACATGTAGGAGCTTTTAACGTCCGAACACTGTGCCAAATAGGACAGCAGGCTTCCTTAGCTAGGACTTTAGAATTTCGCGCCCTCGATGGGTGCTGCGACTCTGAAACACGCATACGGAATCCGAGTAGCGTCATTCACTTGACCTCACCAGGTCAAAATAAAGAACTAACTTGACTTACGCCTCGTGTATCTAGAAGCCCTGATTCTGCTTCCCGTGGCCTCGCCGGCGTAGGCATAGCATTGAGTCCTAGGGCAGAACTGGCTCTCTTAGACTGGATCCCAGTAGACAGTCGTTTGTGCTCTATCCGACTAAACGGAACAGTAAGGACTCGGGAAAACAGGAAAACTCGTCGTTGCCTCTTCGTCTCCTCTGCTTATTTTCCCACTGACTGCAGCTCAGATGATGTAGAAGATGACTTTACTGCTCAAGTAGGTAAACTAGGCGAAATGGAAAGACACCTGAGTGGATCTTATGGTGTCGTGGCTCAAAGAACAGATATTGGCGACCACCTGCTTCTTGCAAATACTAACTTTAAGCATAAGGAAAAACATCTTTTGGCATGGCGATCCCCTTATTCATCCCAGAGTTGGACCCAAATAGATCACATTGCTATCAGCCACCGGTGGAGGGGCTCGATAGAAGACTGTCGCTCATTCTGGAGCACATACTTAGATTCAGATCATGCTCTAGTACGAGCGCGTATCTGTCTGCGTCTTACTGGACGTAGGAAAGACGCTGCAAGGAAACCTCTTAGGGGCCTACTTAATGATAGTCAAGCTAAGAGTATATTTCAGGAACAACTAGGAAAACAGTTAGGCAGCCATGTATGTGATGCCCACCCGAGGCAGCATGGAATGATATCCGAAAAGCTGTGGAAAAGGCAGTGATATCTGCTAGTAAGGTAAACCACAAGGTTAGGGAGCAACACTGAATCTCAGCAGCATCTATCGCACTGATAGATGCTCGGAAACTCATTCCACCTGGCTCTGAACATAATGAAGAGCGGAGTCAGCTTAAGCGCAAGCTGACAAGAAGTCTACGCAATGATCTGAACAGTGGTGGGTAGCGAAAGCAAGAGAGATGGAAAAGGCAGCGGCAATAGGTAATAGCAGACAATTGTTCAGACTTGTTAAGGAAACCGGTATTAGGAAACCGACTGTTAGCGAAACACTCTCAGAGAAAGATGGACATATTATACATTCTCAATCCAGGAGATTGGATCGATGGGCAGAACACTTTAGGGATCAGTTCAACTGGCCTTCAGCCACACTTCGGTTTCCCACGATCTCCAGTCAACCTGAATGGCAAGTTAATGTAGGTCCTCCGTCTCTTTACGAAGTTGAAAAAGCCATAGGAAATCTGAAGCGAGGGAGAGCAGCAGGCCCTGACAGGTTTACTCCTGAGATTTTTAAGGATGGTGGTCCAGTATTAGCAATGAGATTAAGTAAGGTCTTAGGTAGAATTTGGGAACTGGACGTAATCCCATCTGACTGGTCTCAATCACTGATTGTGCCAGTCTATAAGAAAGGACAAAAGTCCTCTTGTGACAATCACAGAGGAATCAGTTTGACTAATATGGTGTCTAAATTATTAGCTCGTGAAGAGCAGACAAGGGAAAATCAGGCTGGTTTTCGACCTGGACGTGGTTGTATAGACCAGATATTCACACTACGTCAGGTTCTAGAACACAGACACACGTTCAGACGCCCCACAATGGTAGTATTTCTCGACCTTAAGGCGGCATTCGACTCTGTTGATCGTAAGGTTCTATGGCAGTGTTTGTCACTGAAAGGAGTACCAAAGAAGTACATTAACCTTATAAAGGCTCTCTACTCGAACACAACTGGTAGAGTGAGAGCTTATGGCGAACTGTCATCAGAATTGATTACCTCAAGTGGTGTTCGTCAGGGCTGTCCACTCTCCCATTCTTGTTCAACTTTGTCGTTGACGTACTTTTAGAGATAACACTTCCTCATCTAAATTTCCAGGGGTTGAACTTCTACCGGGAGGTTCACTTGTTGACTTAGAATATGCTGATGACATAGTTTTATTTGGTGAAGACGCTGACAAAATGCAGAGTCTTCTGACCACTCTAAGCAACAATGCAAGCATGTTCGGGATGCGATTCTCCCCTCGAAATGCAAAATGTTGCTTCAGGATTGGGTTGCATTGACACCCGAACTAATGATAGGGAGTGAAGTAATTGAGCGTGTCGATCGCTTCACTTATCTTGGAAGTCTCATCAGCCCTTGTGGTCTGGTGTGTGACGAAATCTCAGCACGGATACAGAAGGCTCGACTAGCTTTTGCCAACTTGCGTCATTTATGGCGTAGGCGAGATATCCGTCTATCAACCAAAGGACGTGTTTACTGCGCAGCAGTTCGTTCCGTCCTACTTTATGGCAGTGAAACATGGCCGGTAAGAGTAGAGGATATTCGTAGGTTACTAGTATTTGATCATAGGTGTCTTCGAAATATTGCTCGTATATCATGGGACCATCGAGTAAGTAACGTAGTTGTTAGGAAACGGGTACTAGGTAAGGATGGCAAATCAATTGATGACGTAGTGAAACTTCATCAGTTGAGATGGCTGGGACACGTGTTACGTATGCCCAACGACCGACTGCCTCGACGTGCGATGTTCAGTGGTATAGGAGTAGGTTGGAAGAAAGCTAGAGGCGGCCAAACCAAAACATGGCACAAGTCCATGAAGTCACTGACAAGTGGACTGAGTCATGTTGGTAGGTGTAGACTACCTGGTTGGGGACCGCGAGATGATAGCAACCGATGGTTAGAGACCCTGAATGACATGGTTCAAAATCGTTTGCAATGGCGCAGGTGCATACACTCTTTGTGTTCTCCCAAATTCTAATCTCCTTATTCCTCTTTGTTTCTTTTTTTTCTCTTCCAAAATTTATTTCACCTTATTATACTCTTTAATTAACATCTCCAAACACTAATCTTCCCAATTACTGCTTATACTCTTATTACCTCTACCACTACGGGATTTGAATCGACAACTGCATCTCTGTGCTAATGTGGTGTGGCAAATCGAACTGATGTACGTATGTACAAAGTTCTACGTTGTTACTGACTGACTGTTCATTACACTAACATCTAAGAACAATTCTCACACATTGACAATTTAGATAGGGCGACCTATGCTCCTCGATGAGGGGTAAGAGGCGTAAGTGTCGAGCTCAAAACGCTGTTTTTTAAAATAACCAGACAACTGAATCTCATCATTGTTAGTATAAAATCAGAATGTATGTATTCACTCTTTGTCAAGGCCAAAACCATCAAAATATCTGAGCAACAATCCTTGTAATTTGCTTTTAAATATATATCTGGTACACTTTGTTAGGAATGACGGTCAAGGAATTTGACATTTGAATGAGGAGTAAAAGCAATGCTTCTTCTAATTAAGATCCCAAGAGACAGGTTTGATCAAACAGTAATTACGTCGCTGAAAAAAACTGAAGGACTTGCATTGAAAAAGATTTTCAAACCCCTTGAGTGAGTCAGTGGTTTCTTTGGTAGAAAACCATAATGGATTACAGACTTTCTTTTCGCAAGATCAAAAAAGGGTTGTGGACAGTGACACTTTCGAACATGTACTTTAAAACTCACTAAAACAACAGGCTCGTATGTCTGGACAGACAGAACATCTAGATCTCAGAACGTGAACAGATAATTATAAACGTGGACCCTGAAGAACGTCTATCCATCTGAATTACCACTCTCGACACTGGTGCAGTGAGACGAGATAGACAGAAGAAATACTAGCAAAAAAGTCAAGAAAAACAATAAAACTACACAGATGAAACCGGGAAATGAGAAGTATGGGATGAAACAGTACTCATTATTTAAGATTGCCACAGCGATAGATCATCTAGAACCTCTAAACAAAGACCAAGATTATTTTGAGGACCCCGACCACGTGAGCTGAATTTTATGACATGGTTCATACTTATAAGTAGACTAACGATTTCTATTTAGCACTATACACCAACCTTCAGCACCATTTACACACGGCTTTACAATAAGCAGAACGTACCTCAAGTACATTGGTGATTGAATGAAAGTAACTGACAAGGTTTCTGGCGGACGACATCCATGCTTCGTAATCATAAGTTAATAGATAGCCAACTGCTAGACAACATTAAGTTTACTATGACAGATCGACATATTTCGCCGGTACCACTGATGGCGCAAATTGGTGAAACCTTACTGAACATATTTTCTGTTAAAGATGAAAATTTGTTAGCTACGAACATATTCGGGTTAAGGCCGAGGAGATCAACAAAGTATTTAGTTTCTGCACCCACCCACCACATGCTTACAATCAAAATTACAATCTTGCATAACAGCCGTAACGCAAGGTTCTCTATTCAGACAGAAAACTAATCTAAAAATTTTAAACTAAACCCAATATCAACCGAAAGAACACGCTTTGTCAGCAGTTTTTAAAATAAGACCACCATATAAGTACTTCAAGTCAATGCCAAACTGTTTTCCAAGGTTACACGGTGCTTCATTAGTAGAGGTTAAACCACAGGGAACCCTAGAGGAGAACGTCGAGTGTGATTAGTTAGATCTTAAAGACATTTGTTACTAAGCATAAATTACGGCAATTTTTAGACAAAATAATTGCAAGATGACATGAACGTATGAAACTTTAAACTCACTCGTAAATCATCATCAATAGGTCGCTTAATATCCTGAAGGCTATTTTCAAACAATTAATTTGTGCAATAAGAACCTACATTTTGTCATCATTTACTTTATCCGAAGAATCTGGCCTATTTCCATTATACGACGAAACGAAGAACAAACCTTAACTGGTTGACTCCAGCTATCCGTGCACGTATACGCTTGGAATTCGCTTCTCCTATACGTCTATCAGATGGGTCTCGTCCTGTAATTCTTTTTATATCATTGTCAACTATTTTTAACTGCTCTTTAGCAAGTTCCAGGTTCTTCTTCAAGACATCAATAGATTCCATCGCATTAACTTCTCAAAAGCGCGTAAATTCATTGACCTTGGCTTTGCCTTACAGGTAACAATGTACACTATAGTGCAGTATTCAATGTAAACTAATGAGACCATTTACCATTTATCAATTTTGATGCGAAAATATATGTGGAGATCCAGCCCTTGCATGAGAAATTGATATGTTTCGTCATCAACAAGATACGTGCTCATTGGAAATGGTCGATTGTATTATCATCAGTGAATGTGGATTAGCCGCTGAAATGTAACTGTTTGTATCAGGGTCTAAAAGTTCATATATGTCACCTCTAAGATACATGAAGGCTCTCTGTTTCCCATACCACTATGTTAGACGAAATCTCGTTTGTCCCGGCTTTATTTCCAAGCTTGTGATAGTCTTGGTATAGCAGAATCAGAAAGTATTTTCATAAGTCCTACATGAAATGGCCTGTCAAAATCCACTGAAATCGTGATACGCTACTTAGATGGACAAGTCACTATATTGTATTACTCTGAAATCTTTTAACAATGAGGCAGTTGGATATTAAGTGTAGACATACTGAGTCCACGCAAATGTATACCTATTTTGGAAAAAGTTACCTGACAGAACATGTTAAAGCCAACTGTATTACTTCAATTCAGTCGTCTAACTTATGCTTAGCTGTTTGTTTTTATATCCCCGTAGTATACCATTCTCTGTCTAGCCACCCGTCGATTTATCACACTCCATTATTGTGTTGACTGGCAAATATTTGAAATACACTGACTAATCGACACAGTAAAGTTATTTCAATAAAATATAAACTATACCTCTCCGCTACAGTCATGGAATTCTTCATTGTAATTCAACTGACGGTGCTTTCAATGCGTCTCAATACATCTACAATAAGATATTTGTTTCCGATAATAATCTTGTGTTAATATCACTTCAGTACAACTGAGTTTGTTAAATACTACAGTGCTTTTTTTGTTGGTTATGACGGTACATGCAAGTTGACTCAATTTCTTACGTGCGAACTTGAAGGTTTCGCCTTTATAATTCTTGATCAATCCAATCGTCCTGCGATGGGTATAACAGGAAATTCATCAGGTCAAGACTCACACAACGAAGATCATGCCTCCGTGAATTTGGTAGTTTGTGCTTGATCGTGCTTACCCTGAATTATTTTATTCGAATTCTTGTTGCTTATACTTCCCGGAACAGCAGGAAAGTATTTGTTTATCTCTGTATAGTTCTGCTCTGAGAAAGAACGTTTACCCAGAACTCTGGACGAGACAACCGAAAAAATAAAACTGCTTAATAACCTGGCAAGTAGTTCAGCAATAATGCCTACAACGCGGATTGATTACTTTAAGCTCAGAGACTATCAAATGTCTGCCTGCTTCCTGACAAGTTAGGATAGACATAAAGATGCCATAAGTGTTCGGAGTCTGACAGTGCCTTAACCAGCAACACTTTTTATAATCAAAATATGCCAACCCAGTCAAATAAGGATTCAGAAACGAAGAGATTCGAAGATATGTTTGATAAGCTATCGATATGTCATGTAGTGATCATTACAAGCTGATTAGTGGTTGTAGGAGATGTGGTGCTTTAGGATCCAATCGCCTTTCCTTCGGTGTGTCTTCCGGATAGGTTTTAATATCCTTCATAGATTTGAAAATCTGTGAAACTTAAATGTCCCTATTTTCATAAAGCCTTAATCTTTGAAGTTCTTTCTTTTCTTGTATTCCCATGCAATTCTATTGTTACCAGAAAAACAACGAATCTGAAAAGCCCCCCAGATCACCTTCCTGTTCACTTATTTGCATAATCCTTCTACTACTCATTGGGTCTGTGTTACAGACCAGGGGTCAACTAGTAATTCTATCCTGAGGGCCCGTTTCGGCTTGTTCCCAAGTACTATTAATCCTATAGCTGTCTTTCAAAAATTCTCAGATCTCTGTAATGGATTTGAAATAACACAACGAAATGTATTGTCCCCATTGGGCCTGCAACTTCAACAAGACATAATCCAGAACCCACATTCAAAGTACGTAGTATGAAATTGTGTGTTCATAATTATGGTAGGTTTAAACACAACAAATATTGTATAACTGTACACTTAATGTCATGAATATTCACTACACATGTGTTCTTGTGTATGCTTCTTTCCTTTTTACCTTGAATATCTCAAGTTAGAGGTTAGTTTGTGATGTTCGATAATCTATACAAAACGTTTCCTAAGTACCTCCAATATTCCCTCCTTACTTCTCTTTCAGCTGGGAACCGGTTTCTTCCCCGTCACAGTATATTATTGTTGTTGGTTGCAGGTCAATTGATCAGGAGTGTCTTAGGTAGGCGGGTGTTCATAAATACATGCATACATTTAGAGATTATTTTTGTATTTAAATGAATTTGGGCCCAGTACAGAAAGACTGTTTTAACGTTAGCGATGAAAGTTATGAGTTTAACAATGACTAACAGGTCTTTCACTTCACTTAACTTGCCAATTCATGCATTCCTACCCACCTCAGAATAACTTCGTTTATCAGTGAAGTGGTCCACATATGTTCGGGTTTCCATCTCTTTCAAAACATCGTCATCAAGTATGATAAGGCGATCACAAGAGTGATCAAATTTCTATTATCATTACTAACATCTCTTCACAAGCGACAACCGCTCAACAAATTTTTTTGAATTTTATTTCGCACATGATGCTTGCTCTATAACTTGTTGTTGTTGGTTTCAGCTCGCTAAATTTCTGCGTTTAAAGGTTATATTTTTCTACTATAGCATGATCAGTTGTACCGATTCTTTTCGTGTTGTTTGTTCTACCCTGAAAATCAGGTTCCCAGTAATTCGTCTTCTCGTGCAAGCTGTCAAGGTTTTGATGTGTTGTGTGTAGATGACTGTTGCTGATTTGAAAAAAACCGATGGCATTAAAGCAGCTTAATCGTTTTTGTTCCTAGATCCATGAGCATCGTAGGCTCGTACTGAATCTCAATGAGAAGATCTATCAAAGTGTTACTTGGTCGGTATTCATTATATTGTGCACATGCATGTTGTCTCTTCCCTTGTGAATGTTGACGTCAACTTCAGTAAAGGATCGTCTTTTCCTGCATTTGTTTATGTTTATTAAATGAAATTGCTAGATCACACACAAATTTTGAACCGTCCAGGACATCCACGTTGCAACATTTATTTAGGGCTTATCCTACGTTGCAGGGTCCCTCATAAACGAGTCAACAATTTACAGGTGGAGGAATAGTGAGAATAAGCAAGTTCGTGTGAAGTCAGTCTTCAGTTGAATTGCGTGTTTGAAGTGACCTCTATGTACAAACCTGCAGTTTGGTCTATCGTAAGAATTCCATATGACATTGGCGATCCCGGTTACTCTCTGGTGCTGAAGACGGTTCCAAAAGGGATTCATATCCATACTGTCGAATGCTTTCCCATAATCAAGGACTTTGATGTATTGTGATGAGTTCCATTTGATTCGCTTTCTAAATTTTGTCATCAGTGTCGCGATTCGATTAGCACTTGATCGGTCCCTATGAAACTCCATTTGTTAGTCACGAAGTCATGCGTATATCGGATCTTTCATTTATTTCAGCAACACTATGTTGAGAAACTTTCTATGATATTGATGGTAGCATGAACCTTCGAGGTCGGGATACATGGGTCTCCTTTATTCGGTATCTTCACGAGCTGTGGATTTCCAGTCCGCTGGCAATTGTTCTTGAACCCTGAAATTCTCTGACGATGAGGTACAGCAACTTTACAGTCACATCTATATCTTGCCTCGATGCATCGGCTGGAATGTGCCTGGTCCTGTTTCTTCTCAATCCTTGATTCGTTTGATGGCCTTATCAACTTTTTGCATAGATGTCAAGCAGTCATCAGTAGAAACGAGTCTGCGTGCTAATTTAAATTCAGGCTGTGTTATTGGTATTGATCTTTTTACAAATAATACCCATCCGTTCCTCTGAACGTGAAATTCAGTGAGCAGTAAACTTTAATATTTGCTAAATGATAACTCTAATATACAGCATTCCCTCGATATCTTCCTGACTGGATCAAAAAGCTGCTTGATACTCTTATGCATTTTGGATTTTAAATGGAACTTAATGAATATATATTGGATAAACCTCCGTTGCAGTGAAACTACAACCCGGTTCAGACGTCTTCTTGATGATTTTATTTCTGAAGGTGGATTGTGTCACCTATTGAATATCAATGTTTTTAGTAATGATTTATACAACCAAGGTCCGTCATCCATCTAATTGACTGAAAAGCAAAGTGTAACTTTTGAAAATTTGAACGTCTATTTTAATTTATTTCCCTTATGTTAATCTTAATATATGAAGTCTGTTTATGTATGTATCTATGAGTATTACTTTTATGAATATCATTATTGATCCCTCGACACATAAGATATTCTTTTCATCCTTCTAAACATATATTATTCCTAAATATCCAAAGTCTATAGCTGGAAACAAGTTATCTCACGGTACATTTAAATAAATTAACTTCTCAGGTTCATTTTATCGTCACCACATAAATTTAACACATAGAAATTTATATTTGATTATCCTTTGCAATTAATCGTGACTTTCATAAAATCATTCTTAATTATTATTGCACAAATGTTTATACTAATATCCGGTTTCACTCTATATGCTATTACATAAATCTACATGTATTTATCCGAGTGCACTAAAGGATTTTTATTTTATTTTTCTAACTTGTTGGTTTGCTTTAGAGGTCGATACTCATTAAACAATTACCATTATTATTATTATCTTGGTTTAACCCTTTCACTAGATTTCCACTTCTTTTCCCTCTCTTTTTTCCTTCTTAATAAATATTATTCTTAACATTACGAAGTTTTTATTTAGGACAATAACTTGTGTTGCACTTAAATTAACTTCCCAGACTCATTTTATTTTCACTATGCATATATGACTCATACATATTGATATTTCGTTATCATTTCACGTAATTGAGACTTTCATAGCATCACTCCAAAC